GTGTGTGTGTGTGTGTGTGTGTGTGTGTGTGTGTGTGTGTGTGTGTGCGTGCGTGTGCGTGCGTGCGCAGGTACGACCCGTGAGGACGAGTTGGGCGGCAGGAAGGTGATTGGTCTGGAGTACGAGGCCTACGAGCTCATGGCCCAATCAGAGTTCAGTAAGCTGTGTGATGACATCAGAGAGCGCTGGCCAACCGTGACGCACGTCTGTGTTCACCACCGACTGGGGTCAGAACACACACGACCAATATGTCTTTTAATATTATATCAATACTTCTATCAATATTCTATCAATACGTTGATGGGTGAGAGGATGATGCTAACTGCTAATACTACCTGTGGTTAAAGCTGCTGAGGCGGCAGTATTGATCTTTTTTAAAGTGTTGATCGGTGTCGCTCACCTGTGGACTTCGTCCCTCAGGTGGGTGAAGGTGGGCGAGGCCAGCGTTGCCATGGCGATCTCGTCTCCTCATCGCCACGACGGCCAGCAGGCGATCCGTCACTGCATCGAGCAGCTCAAGGCCAACCTCCCCATCTGGAAGAAGGTGACTCGTGATTCCTTTACAACGTCCACTCTGACTCCTGATCACTGTTATTGATCACGTTGTTAATCGCTGATCCACAGGAAGTGTACGACACGCAGGAGGAGAGCTGGAAGGAGAACGCGGAGTGTCCGTGGGCCCTTCAAAATAAAGTTCCTCCCGTCATGTCGTCCAGAGAGAACGTCTGAGCTGCAGATAATAAAACATGTCGTCTGTTCTGAGGAGGGACTCAATAAAGTTTATTCAAAGTTTGTGAGTGGTGGACACTATTCTCCCACAATGCATTGCACAAATGGGGAAGAAGATTTTTTTTATTATTATAAAATAAACAAAATGGACAAAAAAAGGTGTGTTAAGTTAGTGGAAATAAAAAAATGTTAAATTTTACATTAAAAATAAATGCTTCTCACAGCTGAATAATGGCTTCAGATAGACCTTTGAAAACAAAAACATGATCACTGATGTCTGATGGTTCATCTCATATTGTGATTATTATTGCTCTACATTCATTGGACAGCTGGTATTACTGATTACTTTGCAGTATTATGAGAACGTTAATTTAGTTTCAACACTTGAAAGAGTTTCAACATGTCAGATTTTTAAATTTTAGTTTTAATTATTGCACATGTACAATTTCACAGATTATCAATAAGAAACAGCAAAATACATCCAAACTAACATTCCAGACTTCAACAAAATGATGTGCTTTTAATTTGAAAAGCGTTTTTGTAGATAATTCAGACTTTGTCATTAAAATATTTTCACAAATATTTATATGCTTAATGTATATTCACAGATTTATTTTATTTTAGACTTTTATTTTGTAAGGATATCTTCAAGCAAGATGTTTGGTTTTGCTTTTATTTTATAAACATGGCATCATATATTTGTCTGTTTCATTTTGTGTTTTTTAAAAGTTGATAAAATTAAAAATAATCTAAAATTGTATTAAAAACATTGAAAAGAAAAGAAATAATAGAGAAAGTTCAATAAATAGTATAAAGAAAGAGGAGCTATCTCAGCAGATACTCTGATCTGAGTCACAGTTCCGATGGAACATCAGATACGATGACAGTAACCTCTGACTCACATGTGTGGGCGGAGCTTAGTCGTACTTCCGGTTCAGCTTTCAATTGATTTCCTGAACAAAAGGTTTAACTGTGTTGCAAACATTCTCACATGTAGTTAGTTTAATAATATAAATGTGTGAATCTTTTAGACTTTCAGTCGAACAATCTAGTGTGTGAAATATATGTGTTTACGTATTATATTTAAATATCTTAATCTTTATTCATGACATTCTTTAAGTTGTCATTTTCTCTCTTTCTTCTACTTTAACTCTCCATCTTTGTTTACTCTCGTTGTTTTATTCCAGTTTAAATTATAAATGTTCTCTGTGATGAAGCACATAAAGCTGCAGTTTGAACAAAGCTATACAACAATCAATATTCTATCAATACTTATGTCAATGTTTTGTCAATATGCCTTTTAATACGTCAATCAATGCATTCATTAATACATTTATCAATACGTCGATCGATACGGTTTAAACACAGCTTTTATTTTGAAAATGAGCGGAAGAGGCGTCTTCGCTGTTGCCAGTGTTCCGTG